GCATGACAACTATGTATCATGTATACGATCACACATGGAGAAATGTGGATAAAAAAAAAACAATTGAAAAATATATTTCTTAGTCATTGCCAACGCGTTTTGTCAATCCCACATTATCAAGACAAATTTAGAAACGAAATGTTTTTTTGTTACATTAATTTCAAATATAAAGGGAACGTTCCTGTGTAAGCCTCCTTCTGGGTGTTGGTAATTTTTTTTTTTTTTTAGTTTTATACTAAGAATTGGTTTTAGGTTTCCATGTCGACATATTGTTAAATTTCTCAGAAGAATTATGATGCTAAGACAATAAAAAAAGAAGATATTGGAAAATATATTTCTTAGTCATTGCCGATGCGTAGAGAAATGTATTAACAATGTATATTAATAACAAATATAAATTTATATAAATAATGTATATGAATATATATATATATATATATAAATACTGTATATAACTATATGCATATAAGTATATGTATAGATAATGTATATAAATTATATGAATAATGTATATAAATACTGTGAATAATGTATAAATAATGCATATAATGTATCAAATATATTTATAAATAATATATATAAATAAAGTTTATAATACACCTAAATATTGTATATAAATATATGTATAAATATTGTATAAAATAGTCTTCGTTAGGATGAATCGTGTTTTCCAGTCACTGGCGGGTTTATCTAAAAATAAATACGTCTAAATTCACCTTCATCCCTGCGATTAGGGGTAGACTCGCTGACTAATACCAAATAAGTCGGGTTTCGATTCATAGCCACATTGATGAGATGTGAGGAAGACAATATATATATATATATATATATATATATATATATATATATATATATATATATATATATAAAATATAATATAATATAATATATATAATATAATATAATATAATATATATATATATATATATATATATATATATATATATATATATATATATATATATACATACAGTCGAATCCCTTACATTCACTTACGTATTAATCCTCCTCTTCTCCTTCCAGTTATGGGTAAATAGCAGGGCACTGGGTTCTATAGCCTTGGAAGGCAACAGGTCTAGGGTCGTTTGGGGACCTTGTGGTACGTAGTGCACCAGGTCTATGTATTCGGCCCTTCAAAAAGTATAGTTGGTTCTGCACAAAGCCTTCACTATAATCAAATAATATGACGGTCTGTCGGTTCGTAGGAACTGAACTGCTTGATCCTCCTATGTCGAATACGACCGAAGAGTCCACCATATACATAATGTTTACAAACATGTATATAATAATATATAAATATATTTATAAGTAATATATATAAATATATTTCTAAATAATATATTTCTAAATAATATACGTATAAATAATGTATATAAATACAGCCAAATAATGTATATAAATATATGTATAAATAATCTATAGAATTATATAAATATATGCATAAATATGTATAAATAATGTATATAAATAATGCATATAAATATATGTATAATACTGTATATAAATATGCGTATAAATAAGGGAATTTGTAATTTATAAAAATACATCTGAATAATATATATAAATAGATGTATAAATAATATATGTATAAATAATGTATATAAATTCGTCTAAATAATGTATATAAATAATGTTTATAAATATGTATATTAATGTCGTATAAAAATAATTCATCTAAACAAACGTTGATACAGAATATAAGCACAAAAAATGAATACATTTAGAATTATAAATTGAAAACAAAGAGGAAATAAAAGAAAGAGAAAATAAAAAAAACAGTTCGGACGTATCTTAGAATCAGAAATACGTACACATAGTTTTATCTTCACTTCGTATTTGGTGTGACGTCGAAGAACACGTTTGCATCAAAATTTCTGAATCTTTGCCAACATGCAAATTTGTATATACACCTGCACGCACTTAAATTCATTGAAGGCTGAACAAAGTGCTATTCTTTGAGAAAAATTGAAACAACTTGAATGAAGCTTTTCTTTTCTCTTTTTAGCGAAGAGTAATAATATTGATTCTTCAAGATGTTAACACTCATCAATAAATATAGTTTAGAAAAATATTCTTCAAAAAGAAGCTTAAACGCAGTGATAGTAATAATAACGGGGGAAGTACTAAAATAAAAAAGAAACCTTTACAATAACGAAATTTGCAGTTGCGTAAGATATTCAGAAAGTGACAAAACACGTAATAATATCGTAAAGTGGATAATATAACAAGAAAATAACAGTAGCAGTAGTGATGAGGATGATGGTAATGATGATGAAGATGATACAAATGTTGTTATAAGAAAGAGAAAAATAAGGCTTGTGAAAATAATAAAAATTGGGATACTGATGTCCTGGAATAAAGTGTAATAAAGTTATAACGTTATTGGTAAAGAAGTAACGGGTGTTCCAGTAACTTGGACCGAATTTAAATGTTAATTAAGTTTAAGCGTCTAATGATTTTTTCAACATTTTTCTTTCAGATTTAACAATTTAAGTCTTTGGCAATGGAACTATTTACAATCAAACAACGTGTTAAAGTTTCAAGAGCGCAATTGAAAAAGAAATGTTCGTAAATTCAAACAAACTGAGTCGGTGGCAGATGTGAAAACACCATTGCAGGCTCGTTTACGGGGTTCAGCAGGAAAACATTGCTGCAGTGCACGAGAATGTGGCCAAAAATCAAAACACCTCTATTCGTCATCGCTGGCAGGAATTGAACCTCTCCACAACAACGTTACATTGTTTCCAATTGCACTCCCGGTTGGTCGATTATGTTGACCCCCAAAAATCGCAAAGCGCGCGAAATGCATTTTTGTTTGAACGTTCATTTTCGTAAAAGGCTTCGATAACTTTAACACGTTGCTTGATTGTTAATCTTTCCACGGTTGAAATTGGCAAAGACTTAAGTTGTTAAATCTGAAAGAAAAAGAAAAAAAAATCATTAAACGCTTAAACTTAATTCACATTTAAAATCGGTCCAAATTATTGGAACACCATTTATAAATATAAAATCGATATACAAAAATGATAATGATAATGTTAAGCGATCAATCCACACATGTCAAAATTGAAATTACCTTTATTAAAAAAAAGAAACAATTTATAGGAATAATAAGATATTTTTAATAATAATGGTAAAAATAACAACAAAAATAATAATGCTAATAATAACAATAATAACAATAATAATAACAATAATTATAATGATATTAATAATAATAATAATAATAATTTGAATTTCAAGGACAAAATAAGGAAATAAACAAAAGTAATAAATCAAAAATTAGTTCTCAAAATGACTTCGATAACTATCATCAAAGAAATGTATTAATTAATGATTTAACTTTTTAATTAGCAAAGTGAAAATTCAAATTAAGATTATGCATGAATGATTTGCCCTTGACTTTATTCCTTCGAGCTTATAAGGAAATTGCAATGCATGAGTAATCAAATAAAACGAAAATATATATATATATATATATATATATATATATATATATATATATATATATATGCAAGATATTGATATGCCTAACGGAAACCATGATTCCCAAAATAATTCAAATTTTGTGATGTAGGCTGAACTAAAAGCTTTTCCACAGTACTTGTTTACATGCGCACACACACGCGCGCGCGCGCGAACACACACACACACACATATATGCAAATGAACAAACAGATACGCATGTATATATTTAGATGAACAAACACACAAATATTTATATTTACATGCAAAGATATGTACATGTATATACATATTCAAGTAGAAACACACACGCGTATGGACACACACTCACACACACACACACACACACACATATATATATATATATATATATATATATATATATATATATATATATATATATTATATAAAGGTTTTCACATACATATATTTGTGTGTGCGTAGATGAGTGAAGTTGAAAAGTATCTGACAGAATTATAATTCTACTAGAAATTTTTGAAAAATTTTATTTTGAAACATTTTGCCTATGAACTGGTATCATCTTTTTTCTGATAACGGCAGCTCATCGGCCAAACATAAAGTAGAAAGTTTTCAAATTATCTTATATATTTATCCCTCACATGTGTGTGTGTGTGTGCAAAAAATCTTTTTTAGAAATGCATAATATTGAAAAATGAGTATAATGGAGACTTGTACTGAAATGGTGTCTGGAAATATAAAGACTTTATTGCCACCCAATATAATATAATATAATATAATATATATATATATATATATATATATATATATATATATATATATATATATATATATATATATTAGTAAAATCTATAAAAACAGTGGAAATATGTTTCGTGTGTGGCGTTTTGTCTTTTACTACATTATCGGACAAAAGTAATATTTACGTTGATTTTTGTCAAATATTTTCAAAATTTCCTTTTGATATATAAAAATGTATATATCGTTTATATATATATATATATATATATATATATATATATATATATATATATATGCGTGCGTGTGTTTGTGTGTGCGTGTATGTGTGTGTGCATATTCAAATGTAAAAACAAATATTTATAAATACATTCATTAGCTGTCAAAAATGCATGTATATATTTACTCTTATTTCCCAAAAATGCATTTTTATTGTTTGAAGATGAAAGGCATTCAATACTTGAATATGAAATATGAAATACAACTATTCCTTTTCTTAATGTAGCTTTTTTTCATGAACACAACCACGTACAAACAAATACATGATAATAATGAAACCCACCAATACCATACGAGATCATAGCTGCATCACACATACATACACACATACACACATTCACACACACACGTGTGTGTGCGTGTGTGTGTGTGTGTTATTGACGTCACTCAACTTCCGAACACCGTCGAATGTTTACAAGAAACACAAAACCTGTGAACGACAACAAAAATAAATAAATAAAAGAAGCGGACGATGTATGGAAGCACCTTTAAACAATTAGACCCATTAAGCTGATATAATGCGCATGCGTGAATAATCATTAACACTGGGTACGAGGCGACCATTTGACATCAGTAATGGCGGGGAAAACAGAGAAATTGGCCACGATAAGCAGAAGCATGTTCCATGAGGCACGCTCTCTGCATGCTCTGGTTGACTGCACGGGGAAGTTCATAGATAGATAGATAGATAGATAGATAGATAGATAGATAGATAGATAGATAGATAGATACTGTGTTAGCCAAAAAATTCGTTCCTATATTAAGTTGAAAATTTACTTAATAAACCGAACGAACATTCTGGCCAACCAAATAAATATGAACAGCCTGAGATATATATATATATATATATATATATATATATATATATATATAGATAGAGATAGATAGATAGATAGATAGATAGATAGATAATTCAAGAGAAATGAACGTGGTAAGTAATGGAACAGAGAACGAGAGAGACGGGAGAGAGATGGATGGATATGGAAAAGGAAAGAAAAAGAAAGAATAAATTAAATAGAAAGGGAGGTGAAAAGACAGACACAGAGAAAGAAAAAGTAAAATAATCTTAAGTTTAAAGAGAACGTAAGGGCTATATGTTGAATATTGAATGAAAAATTTCAAAATTAATTTTTAAATGTAAATCTTGCTGATTATTTAATATTTCCTCTCTGTTGTGAAACTGTTGAATTTCCGTAATTATACATGTTTTTACTTCTAAAATACGAAATATTGTTCATTGATCTCAATCGAGAAGATACAATCAGCTCGAAATGGCAAACAGGGACGAACAGATATTTTAGCGCCAGTGTTGTCCACGATATACAAATGCAAGAAATATTAGGTTGTCAGGAAGAGCAGAAAATAAGGGAAATAATTTGAATGAAAAGGCGGGAGAATGAGGAAATATAGAAGAGGTTTAAGGCTTTAAAAAGAAAGAAAGAAAGAAGAATGATACTGAAAAAGAAAAATAAACGTAAGAAAGAAAGAAAGAAAGAAAGAAAGAAAGAAAGAAAGAAAGAAAGAAAGAAAGAAAGGAAGGAAGAAAGAATGAAACCGAAAAAGAAAAATAAACGTAAGAAAGAAAGAAAGAAAGAAAGAAAGGAAGAAAGAATGAAACCGAAAAAGAAAAATAAACGTAAGAAAGAAAGAAAGAAAAAAAGAAAGAAAACAAGAAAGAATGAAACCGAAAAAGAAAAAGTAACGTAAATAAGAAAGAAAGAAAGAAAGAAAGGAAGAAAGAAAGAAAGAAAGAAAGAATGAAACCGAAAAAGAAAAATAAACGTAAGAAAGAAAGAAAGAAGAAAGAAAAAAAGAAAGAAAACAAGAAAGAATGAAACCGAAAAAGAAAAAGTAACGTAAATAAGAAAGAAAGAAAGGAAGAAAGAAAGAAAGAAAGAAAGAAAGAAAGAATGAAACCGAAAAAGAAAAATAAACGTAAGAAAGAAAGAAAGAAAGAAAGGCAGAAAGAATGAAACCGAAAAAGAAAAATAAACGTAAGAAAGAAAGAAAGAAGAAAGAAAAAAGAAAGAAAACAAGAAAGAATGAAACCGAAAAAGAAAAAGTAACGTAAATAAGAAAGAAAGGAAGAAAGAAAGAAAGAAAGAAAGAAAGAAAGAAAGAAAGAATGAAACCGAAAAAGAAAAATAAACGTAAGAAAGAAAGAAAGAAAGAAAGAAAGGAAGAAAGAATGAAACCGAAAAAGAAAAATAAACGTAAGAAAGAAAGAAAGAAGAAAGAAAAAAAGAAAGAAAACAAGAAAGAATGAAACCGAAAAAGAAAAAGTAACGTAAATAAGAAAGAAAGAAAGAAAGAAAGAAAGAAAGAAAGAAAGAAAGAAAAACGTTTAAGGAAGATGCTGAGAAAAAGTATGAGAACATTTTTAAAAGTAAGAAGAAAGAAACGAATACAGAAAAAGGGTAATGGTTCGATTTATAAATTAAAGAAATATCATCAGATAGATAGTGACAGAGATAGAAAAGTTTGATTTCAGATGCTGCTTCGTCCAATACAAAGGAAAGGTGACTCATTCTGAATCAATATCAAATATTATTGGATGAGTCACGGTTGAATTCCTATTGTTAGTTATTTACACAATGCAGAATCTCGTCAACAAACAAAAGAGTTACATCACCAAGAATTTATCCATTGCTATGAAGAAAAGCTGAATTGGGTGGAATTATAAGGGAAATAAATTGTTACATAATGTCAGTTTTGTTATTGTTGCTGTTGTTGTTATTTCTACTGATTGTATAAACTAGATGTTGATATCAGCCGACATATCACGAGTAGGATTTATTAAAGAAATCCTTAAAAATTTTCTTTCACTCGAACTGCACACACACACACACACACACACACACACACACACACACACACACACACATATATATATATATATATATATATATATATATATATATATATATATATATATATGGTTATTCAAAAGAATGAAATGATTTCATGACACATTGCTTCAATTCTCAAGCATCGTTATGGAATGAGTCAGTGACCATTTGAAAGAGGAAATTTCTAAGTCTTTTGAATGGCTGCCACTGTGGTGCTGTAGTCGCGTCGTATCTCCGGCAACGTTCAGTTGTTTGTTTACCCCCGGAATGGCAAGTCCTCAGCAAAAGTCATTCTACATTCTTGAGTTCGCGAAAACAAATTTGGTTGTCAGGTGCAGCGTGCTTTTCGAAGGCAATGCAACAATAACCCGCCATCTCCTAAGAACATTCGATGCTTGTATAAACAGTTTCAAGAGAGTGGGTGTCAAGTTCATTGTGAGTAGAATACTCGTGACTTGGCTGAAGTTTTCTATTGCTTTTCCTTATTAAAATATTGCGTAATGAAATCGGTTTCTTCTTTTTTAATAGCCCTGTATATTAACGGGTATAGTTTTCTTCATTCCAATCAGAAGATGACGACAACGCAAGAAACTGACAGTTGGCGAGAGGTAAAGCAGCAGAAGTATTTATTATCATATGCAAAATTTTGTAATTTGTAGTTTTGTAATGTATATTTTAACTATTTTACTATTTTTTTTTAACTACGTGTGCACTTTTTGTGCAAATATTAAATTTATGAAACACAGACGCGTATATGTGTGCTTCTGTGTCTATAGGCACGCATACCTGATGTGATTCTTCTTAATGATATCAGAAATATGATTTGCGATTTCCTGAATAAAGTTATATAATCACAAAACATATCTCACTAATTCTACAGAAAACTTTATTAGTTATTCAAATTACCAACATGCTAAATAGCATATATATATATATATATATATGTGTGTGTGTGTGTGTGTGTGTGTGTGTGTGTGTGTGTGTGCCTGTGCCTTTTTGGAAAGAAGTTTTAATTAAATTCAACAGGGAAGTTTCCTCTAACTTTTTATTGTACTTTAGTTCTTAACAATGACCCAGACGGGCGAATGTAAAAATTAAAAACACCATGAAAACAGGAATTACGAAAAGTTTATCTACAAATCTGAACCAGATTTGGGAAAACGTATTAAAAACTTGGCAAAAATACAATAAATATAAAAAAGAGAGACTATGTCAGTTGAATTTAATAAAACTTGTTTTAATTGATTTTTTGCTGTAAACATATATGTCTGTCTGTCTGTCTGTACATATATGCAGCAAAAATGCAATTAAAAATATAAGTTATATATTTAGTATACTATATATATATATATATATATATATATATATATATATATATATATATATATATATATTGTCACAGCAAATATATACACATATAATATGTATATGTGATAACATAGTAAATATATACGGTATAGTAAATATATAGCAAATATATATTATATAAATTATATATTAATAAGTACATATACGCGTACCTACGTTTTTTGTGGTGTTCCCAGTTCGTCGGGCACGGGGTCTATATTTGGCCGTTTCATTTACCCACTTTACAACTATTATATAAATTATATATTAATAAATATACATAATACCCTACGTCGACAGTAGAACTCGGAGTTTGATGCTCATTGCAATTACCAAAATTCCTGAAAGGTCAGGCGTTAATAATCAATTTCACTGACCATTGCAATGACGATTGCAGTTTGCATGAAACCCCGAGTTTTAATGTCGGCGTAGGCTATTTGGCATACATATTAATATATACTTGATAGCTCTGTTATTTAGCAGTGAGCACTCTTTTTCTTACACCAAATGATATATACGTATGTATGTATTTGTATTTGAACTCTTACACGTACATTTATTTATATCTATCGATTTAAGTATATTCATATTATGTAAATTATTGATTTTTTTTATTAATTATTAATTTATGCATGATGTGATTCTTCTTAATGATATCAGAAATATGATTTGCGATTTCCTGAATAAAGTTATATAACCACAAAACATATCTCACTAATTCTACAGAAAACTTTATTAGTTATTCAAATTACCAACATGCTAAATAGCATATATATATATATATATATATATATGTGTGTGTGTGTGTGTGTGTGTGTGTGTGTGTGTGTGTGTGAGAGAGAGTTTAAAAATCAGAAGGTCAATTAAAACACGCGACCACGGTTTCGACCCGGCGGTCTCGTTGGGCGTCAATTTCAAAATGACCCCTTTAACGCTTTATTTAAGGAAAAAGCCACAAAGTACGCTACATAATTATCTTTAAAAAAAAACTTTACAGGCGTATGATGATTGACATGATATTGGGTGTAATTGGGAAGGGAAGGGGAAAAGGAGATGAAGGAAAGAGTGGAGAGGGACAGGAATGGAAGTGTATTGTAAATGTATACAATAAAATGGAAATCAAATATGTAACTTAATTGTTATTGAGGATGGGGGGGGGCTGCCTAGTGTTTTTTTTATTTTAGATTTTTTTTAACGGGCTTCATATTTGCTTAATAAAAATTGTTTTATGAGAAGGCAAGGGCTTAAAATTTCGTATTTTTGGTTTAAAAGATTTTCTTTTCGTTCGGGAATGTTATACAGTGTAACCCGGATATAAGAGAAACCCGGATATAAGAGATATTTTCTCTGGTCCCAAATTAGAGCCTGTTTTAATGTATATAATATAGACCAAACCCGGATATAAGAGAAACCCGGATATAAGAGACTTCTTCTCCGGTCCCGACAACTCTCTTATATCCGGGTTACACTGTAATTGCTAATTTCTCATATTGGCATAATTTGAAAATGCGGGTATAATTGTTATAGGTTTTAGCTTTTTTTAAAATTGTCCACCTTATGACCAGGTCCCTGTTATTTTTTTTTTTCTTTTAAGTTTCTTGGAGTATCTAAGGTTTGGTGGCTTAAAAGACGATGTGTGATTGTACTATCTACGGTTGAAAGGGCCTTCCGTGCAGACTATATGTTTTAATTTGACCATTCATATTTGTTACTTCTGCTTTATAAATTGGTCATATAAACAGAATAGGGTTGTTCTATATACATTGGGAATTATAAATGTGTAAATGTATTGCGAATTATTATGATTATTAAAGTGGTGATTGAAAAGTAATCCATATTTTATGTATCAGTGGCAAACCAGGAGTCCTGACTTAACACCCTGTAACTCATTTTTGGGGGGTGGGGGTTAGTTAAAGGAGCAGGTTTACTATACCAAACCGAGACTTTGGAAGAACTTGAAAGGTGAATACAAGAACTTATATTTTTCACACCACAAGAGTTACTGATGAAATCAGTTGACACGATTCCTGGGCAGCTCCAGAAGCTGCTAGCGAAATCTGGTTCTCATATCGAATTTTGAATAAAACCTCATGCTAAACGCTTTTCTTTCGTAGCTATTTCTTTTAAAAAATTATAGTCAATAAATTATAAGTATTTTAAAATGGGGAGTTACTTTTCAATCACCCCGTATTATTTGGCACATTTACACCAAAGTTATTGTGCGTAAAATCGGGCGACAACTTCCTCTCAAGTTTCCAGCACCTTGCTGAGTACTCTCACTGATATCATCGCTGACGCTAATGACCATTTGTAATAGTCTTATCGTTGTATTCTTTGAAATAATTCTAACTTCGTCTGTTAAATTCATGTTTCACAGCTTCTTTGATTTTAGAGCAAGGTCCTTGATTTTTTTTTTTTTTTTTTTTTACGGGGGATGGTTTCCTAGAATAAACGCAACAAACAACCTTAGAGAATCTATTTGCGTCAACCTTTTTTTTTTTTTTTTTCTTTTTTTTTTTTACCGGGGATGATTTCCTAGAATAAATAAACGCAGCAACAACCTTAGAGAATCTATATGCGACAACCTATTTTAGCTTAGTTTGTCTGAATCGTAATATCCAACAATATTAGTCATTATATTTATTCTTACATTTTCTCGGGTAGAGCCTCGCGTTTAGGTTGATATCGTTTGCTTGCGTAATCAAAGTCGCGCTCTCCTCATTTTTTTCAATCTGGTTATTCTCTGTCTGTTGAGCCATCTTGTCGCGTTCACTGATAATGTTGTTTAGTGTCTTATTTCTTCTCCAGTAAACAGGATGTTTGTTACTTCTCGCTGTTTTACCAGTTCTTGCATTGACATAATCGCTTCTAATATATTTATTATCGGTCTCAGTAATCAGTATATTTTAATAAGGAAGTTGGCGTCTACCTTTTCCCATATTGTACTTTGTAGTTTTTAATATTAATTTAGGTATAAAGTATTAATATTACTTCCATCTCTGTATATGTAATTCCTTATTATTAATTATATAACCGAACACTAATTTTTCATATTATTATGTTGGTGTCACACAATGGAAATTCTGTTCTTGAGGTAGGATGATAACGGGGCTCCTTACAACTTACGAACTTTTCAGAGAATCCTCGCATAGTATATGATGATAGCTTTCTGGCCGTCTACAATTTTGGACTCAATTCAAGTTCTCTCTAAGCGCCTCTTCAGATTTCTAGGTGAATATTATTATTGTATTTCCTTTGATTTCTGGTGTGTACTCATTTCTTTCCGGGTCCCATACCCTAAGGTCAGAAGGTGCATCATTTCCACTGAGCAT